CCGTTACTGCTACTCTCTGCTTCAGATTCTTCGCTCTCATCTCACCACTGTCTGTGATTATGCCAACCCGACGTCCCGATGTGGGCAGGATCACAATGTCGATGAAGGTATGCTCTAATGTGCCGTAAGGGGTCTGGGGGAAGGCCGCAAAACATAGGCCAGCTGACAAATCCGAAACACCCAGGCGCCACACCCCTTGTTGCACTGAGCTGCGCTGGGGCAGAACACTCTAAAATCTCACATTCGCAACATCAATCTGCGATTCCGCGACCGTTCAGGTGGAGTCGGCGAAACTGATACGCCATCGGTGGTTGTCGGCCGACTTGGCCGCCACAGCTCCTTACATGCGGGGTAAAGATTTGTTGTTTTGCGGTGGCCGCGGGTGTGGCCGCGGGCCGTGGGCCAGTAAAAGGAGTGGGTGGATGCGAAACTCTGACGTGGCTACGTGTGAAGCCATGAACCCTAACAGGAGTGAGTGGCTATACGAAACCCTCATAATACCCAGAAGGGAATGGTTGGGTGCGAATCCAGCCCTATAAGAGGAGTGGCGGGTGCACGGGTGCGAAACCCCATAAAAGCAAGGCGAAACCCTGAACCCTAAAAGGGTGAGTGGACTGCGAAACCCCACCGGCATGGCCACGGGGCCGCGTGGGCCGCGCAGGCGCGTGGCCGTGTGCATGGCCGCGTGCATGGCCGTGGGCCGGTACTATTATGCACATGCGCAGGCATGGGCCGCACCACAGAATCCTCTCTAAAATTAAGCCCTTTGAACTGGAAACTGCCATTAAGGCACACCGGAGAAGTCGATTGGAATGCCCCGGGCACCCTTATCTCCGATGGATCGTAACACCTCGCCTGCGCATGCAGTGGGGTTATGCCAGGGCGTCGTGCTGATGTGTTCAATCCGATCATCTGACACATCGATGTATGTATGTGCTTCTTCGCCTTTGAGCAGCGTGTCGGAGAGCTGACACTGTATTTCAGCATCTGCACCTGCCGGCCGATGTCATGCGTGCATCCGTCAGAGAAGTACGAACAAGGAGCGCATGTATACAAGCAAGCAGCACCTCGCACCCACGCGCAGTCTCCATCCACACAAAGCACCTCACGATGCCAAGGCACGAGCTACAATGCTGCATGTGGGCAGATACCAACAACACCACCTCACCGGGCATTGCCGATGCGAAGCGCTGCAACCGTTCTCTATCTGTGAGGAACTTTTCCTGAGCATAGTCGGGCAGAGTAGCGTCTGGCAGGCCGCACTATGGGGCAACAAGCCCGCAAGGTCATGCTTCGACGAACAGGGAGAGACTTGGCCAGTTTCGCATGCAGATCTCAAATGCATCTAAGCAACCACCGGGCGCACCTTCCCAACTACCATCAAAAACACTCCGCATCTACAATGCATACACTGGCGTACAAGCAGCCAAGGCCTGCAGCACCGTGAATCTGACCTCCTCACATGGACAGCAAACACGGTCAACAAACCAGAGATCTTGCAGTCAGCCTGGCCGTCTTCCCGGCAGAGGCGTGTAGCTTGGGCATGCGGTTCCAGTTGCTGAGAGCGGGCGAAGCGTTGCAGGAAGCTGCCTGGGTACCGGTCGTGACGGCATGTGACCACAGGTCCCTTTATGTCCGCACATGTCACATGGCTGCGCAGGAATGCCAAGGCCGACTCTCCGCCAGTGCCAGGAAACCCAGCCCTCGTTCGGAACAGCTGTGCCAGTGCGAGGCACAGCGCCTCCTTCGAGCTCGAATGCAGTTGCCGGTTGCCAGATTCGGATGCTTTTGGCACACTCACGCCTGGTGTCCAGCCCCTTCGCGAGGAGCGCCACGCGCCCAGCATGGACATGTCCTTCACTCTGGCACGTGTCGTTTCCAGCAAGCAGTAAGCCTCAGAGGCCACTTTGACCAACTCAGGCCGACGCATAGTCACCTGTTTGCAGAGCTTGGATCCACCCCGGCAAACGGCGCGTTGCAGCTGCAGATAGCCTGGTGAGTACAAATTCTGTGAGAACGAAAAGCAGAATCTGCACGCTGAGACCCTAGATGACTCTAACGGCTTCGCGGCTCCGCGTCCTGCATGCACAAAAAGGCTTTCATGTTCCTTGAATCTTGCCGTGATGCGTCTCTATAGTCTCCCATCCGGAGCAGGCGCTCTCCGGTTGCACTTCGCAGATGTCCACCAAGGTGTCCTGCCAGGATTTTCAGCACCCAGTCACTTAGGCTGCTGACTCTGACCCTGCACGGAACCTTTCGCAACTGATGGTCCTCGGTAATGAAGCCTTGGCTGCTTGAGGTCAGGCTTTGTCGAGGATTGACGGGAACAAACGGACCGTGTTTCTGCAAGGCAAGTCACTTGTTATCCCCACGGGGCCGCCCCCGAGCAAGGCACAAGCCATTGAAGCGCAGGGCAGTGCCAGCGCTGTCGTGACGCGAATGCCGTCCGGCGCCAATGCTTCGGACAAGATGGCCTTATATGCAAACACATGCCAAGACAGCACTGCGAGAATTTTGAAGTGACGAAGCCAGCGGGGTCGTTGGCCCGTTTTGGGCCATTGAATCGTGCCGTGCCTGTCGTGCCACGCCTGCCAGAACTGAGCCAAGCTGCACGAGGCGCATCGACTTGCAGATGACAGCCAGCATCGATCAGCAAGTCCAGGGCAAGCTCCTGCACAGAGCGGCAGGCGGACGCTGTGGATGCTACTGTACCGTGTTGTATGCGTGTCGTTACGAAGTCGCAAGCCGAGTCCTCCACGTCAGTCGGGATCTCTGCTAAGGAATCCAGGCGTCGTACTTTCTGCTCGCTGCAGAGTTCAGACAGCTTTTTCCGGTTCTCGTCGAAATGCGGCCACTGCACAGCTCCGTCAATCTCGTCCACTGCAACAAGGACCAGCTCGATCCCATCAGTTGCCTGAAGCTGCCTGAAATACTCCACGCTGTGTGCAGTCCCGCCGATGAGGCCCACGCGCTTCAAGCTATGCGTTTTGACCTCCGGGAGCAATGCAATTTTGATCGCACCGTCTTGGTACGTGGATGCCATCTCAAAAGCCGACTGGATGCTCCTGGCAACAAGCCGAGATAGGGGCAAGGTGCCCGTGAAAGCGGCCGTGAACGCTATGCAGCCAAGGGTCGATAGGGGTATCTGGTGAGTGAGCATCGTCAGGCAGCCTTCCCGCAGCTGGGCCGATGTCGAGAGCAGCTCGAGGCAAGTTGCCAAAGTCTGGTTGGCACGGCGCACGTTGAGGATTGTCAGCTCCTTCGTGCGAGCCACATGCGGATTGTAGGGCAGGTGGTCCACCTCCGGAATCCCGACGAGGACGACCAAAGCAGCGCTGGATGCAACCTCTGCAACTTTGGCTTTGGGCCAGGGGCACTAAACTCAAACTGCGACTGGAATGCCACACTTCGCCGGCACGGGCCTGCAGGGCCGCCTGGAAGCTCCTTAGTCTTGAGCATGGACTCAAGGAACGACCCATCCCCGAATCCCCGCAGAACGCATTCAGACAAAAAGCTGCTCCGTCCCGGCACAGTCGAAGACCAGCTCGCAGCCACTTCTCCCCACTTTGGCCTTGAGCCTTGCAGCGCAGCCTTCGCTAGGGTGAGCACTGCTGGCTCCAAGCCGGAGAGCCACTTCCCGTCCTTGGCTCGCAGTAGCTGAATAGCTCATGGCTCTGTCTTCTCAGGTCGATTTTCGGTTGAGCCCGGCGTCGCCCTTCCAAGGGCTCCACCATGTGCACACTTCGGGCTCCCACGTGCTTCAGTAACAGCAGGTGGCACAGGCCGATGGCACCAGCACCAAAGATGCAAACATCGCCATCCACCGCGTCCAAAATCGCGGTCTGGCTCAACTTCAGCCTTTCGTCGCTGTCGGCTCCCACTCTGACCAAAGTAGGAGACAGTACGAGGGTAAATGATACCAGCAGCTAGCAGGGGCAGGCTTCATCGAAGATTCAGATTATCTCCGTTTCGAGAAAGATGCGACATGCGACAACTCTATGCAAAGAAGCAACGAATGAAGAGCAACAGAGAGCGGCTCGGTCATCATGGCCAGCTCGAGAGGCACGTGCGAAGGAACTCGCACGAGCTGAACTGCGCTGACGCACACCTAAGCACTCGCTGCAATCAGAAATGGCCTCAGCATGCATGCCTAGGACTGCGCCTGCGCTCTCATCCAAAGATGCCAAGAAGCAAAGTCCGCAAAGCAGCCACGGGTCTTCCCGGCGCCCATGAAGGTGCCGCATTCACAGAGGTGCTGCTTTCCTATGTGAAAATTCGCTTGCCAAGTGCTTGGGCTGCTGTGGGCACGGGGTCCTGGCCTCTCATGGACATCTTCGATCCAAGATATGGGCAGTTAGGTACCACTGCTACGCGGTCTCCAACTGCCCACCCCGGACACTTGTTGGCATCTGCGATGACGCCAGCCTTACATCCCCAAATGTACGGCTTCACAAGCATGCTGGGCAGCTGTCGTCCAATACCAATCCAGGAGCTGGCTCGTGGCCCATATACATCGGCATGGGTGTTTTGAATGATCCCAAGCCTCCATGGCGAAAGTAGTGCCTGAGCAAGATACAAATAAAAATTCCACTTTCAGGTAAGTTCGCATTGTAGTCAGTGAAAAAACGAAACGGTCAAGCCACAAGTCCGATCCGCATAACCCGGCATGGGTGATGCGGACCAGTACCTCTCCATCTGCGGGTTTGGGTATCTCCTCCTCGACGAGAGCGAGTCTTCCTAGGAGCACAATGTCATGATGCAAGTCTCACAACTTGTCATTAAGGCCACACTTCTGCATTTCGATGAGGCCCTGGCCCACGTCCTGCAGGATGGCCAGGCGATTAGCTGTGCGCATGGCATCGCGCACGCTGCGGCCAGGCTGAATTTCTGTGTACTTCGCTTGGGCCCCAAAAAGATCCAGCAGCGGCACCAGGCAGAAGTATACGTTGAAGATAATGAAGCGTAGCAGGACGCACGAACGCGCGAGGAGTCTGCAACGCCTGTGGTCCCGCAGTGCAGGTCGGGCTCAAAGCCACGCTCCCGGCCTCAGATAGCGGACGTGGCAGACTGTCTCAACGAGGCAGCCGCGAGCTTGGCTTGCTCAGGACATCTGGGGCCTGCTCTGGCGCAAGGGCCTCGCCGATGACCACTGCTGCTTCCGGCGACTGGCACACTCGGAGACTTTTTGATGCTCTCAGAGCAAATCACAGCAGGCCCACCCATTTTCGGCAAACAGGGACACAGGCAGTACAAGAACAAAACCGCTGCCACTCCCCCTGCCCTGGCTCGCTATGTCAAGTATGTTAAATGTGGTCCAGGCTGCCCTCCATCGTTGCGTTGCTCCACTTCTGTGCACCGTGACCTCGTGCAAGGCTTCCAACTTCGACAGTGGGCACATGTGGATGTCAGAGTTCTCGGACCCGTTGCAGCAGAGGAAGCAGCGCCGTTTTTCTTGCTTGCATTCATCTGGAATTTCGCCCCGGAGCCGATGGTCACAAGCTATGTCCTCGAGGAGGAAGAGGAGGAGGAACGATTACATTGGGGGGAGGGGTTGCCAGTATCATGTTCGGCCAAGCTTCTCCCTCAGCCAGGCTGCCTCTGCGACAAGTGTGGCCATTGCAGCCGTGTACCTGACTGGATTCACGGTGATTCTTGCTGGTGAGTGCCGCCGTGTGTGCCGCTGGTGCACTGTTGCTCGGCCGAATCCAACTGCTTCCGTAGAGATGCCGACGAACTGCCACAGAGAACGCAACAGCTCAGGCCTAGCTTTGCTTCGAGTCTGCAAGACATTCCCTCTCAACCTGCACAAGGCATCGAGACGCATCGCTGCAGCTGCCACACAGGATTCCGACTCTCGGAACCCGCGGGCTAACTCCACGTTCAGTCGCAGAGCCTGAGCCACAGCGTGCCGAAGTAAGCACTACTGGAGTGCAGTCACTTCAGACTCCAGCAATCAAGCAAAGTCCATGGTGGCCGAGCAACCTCACAAAGCTGCTGCTCCACTTCGGCACACTCGAACTCCTCCAAGTCTTTGACCTGCACCTGGACCAAGCAAGCCGTTTCAAGGTTCGCTTGCCAGCAGCGACCAGCGTAGGCTGAGGTACATGTCTGCAGGTGTCGCCTCCTGAGAAAGTTTATCCAAGTGTACGCATGCTTTGAAAGAAAGACCCTATTTAGCCCGCAATGGAACTCATCACAAGCAGCTGCATGCCCCACATCAAAAGCCGGTTGACCAGCTCGCGCCATACGGGCCATGCCTGCAGCTCCATCTGAGCTTGCTCCGCCTTGTGGCTCGCCAAGCCAGCATCGTGAGCTGCAGGCACCAGTGCACTTCGCAAGGACACTGTTTCCTGCGGGAGTGCGCATCTGCCTACATTGTATATCGTATATACATTCTACTTCAGACTGAATCTTGCCGAGCGTCTTTGGAGATCAAGGCTTCTTCTTGGGCCAGATTCGTCCTAGCTCGGGAATTGGTGAAGGAACATAAGCTTGGAGGGCGTCGGACATGCATCTGAGCAGCTCAGCCGCACGAGCTGCACCTAACTCTGCCAGGAAGCAATGATGGGCCTGCGCCACATGACTGAAACCCAGACTCGTCCATCTTCCGCCCGACACTACTTACACCAGGACTCGACACAGGAGTGCGATTATGGCACCTGTGCTCTCATCGTTCCTCCCAGCGAGGACACGGCCTCTGTATCAGCGTGCACTGCCGAAAACTTATCCCATGAAACGAGAATCGAAACTCAGCCGGCCTGCAGCCTCCTGCGTTCGAAGGCCAACAACCAACGATGAATGCTGCGATGCAGTGACTTTCGTCGATGTGCCTGGCCTCTCCAGCAGATGGTAAGGAAGTGCCAAGCATGCTGTGTTGATCTTCTGTGGGCTTGGGCCGCTGCCCACTTTCGCTGCAGCACGAGGAACTTTGTGTCTGTGCCTTCGCGATGCCCAGTTCTGCACGACAACTTGCAGGAGACGATGGCGCATGTGTCTGCTCCTGATGGCACATAAGTCTTAAAAGCAACAGTCAAAGAAGGCTACTACTCCAGACCCAAACCAAAGCAGGTGTATGCGGACAACCGGACCAAACTTATGTAGCGGTAGCACTATGCAGCACTTAAACACGAACAGAAACAGACAGGCATGGACAGACACCACTTGTGGTGTTCCAGAATTTTCCGTCCTCGCATTAGTGTACCAGTTTTGCCATGCACAGTCAATCCCAAACGGATGCATCCGAAGATCAACCAGCAAAGACGGCGAGCTTGAAAGATGCATTTGCGCCAGAGCTGGAAGCAAGACTTCAAGCGAGACGATCGAAGCCAAGCCACGCATTTCCTCGAACAAACACAGGCACAAAACGAAACTGCCAAATGATTGTCCAGCTGCTAGCCCATATTAGGCAAACATACAGCAAGGGTAGAAACTGATTTGCTGCATTGCATGACAAGGAATCCGCATGGACGCTGATAGTCGGGTACTGTGGAGCAGCCCGAGGAACCAGACTCCTTGACTGAGACGGGCTTGTCGAGGCAGAGAATACCCAAAAAGTAGATCCCTTAGTGGGTTTTCCTCTAAAGTACCCTAGTACTAGTACCCTTAGTAGTATAGGGCCCCGAATTAGGGGATCTATAGACACATCTTTAGCCTCTTGCCGAGGCACCTTGGCGCTGGCGGGCTCTTCGCATGGAGAGACTGCCGGCAGCAGCTTGCACGGCTGCAGACCCCGCAGCCAAACGATCGCGCCAACGCTTCCAAACTTCCCTCCTCGCAGCTTCCACTTTTCCACCTCTCTTCGTGCACATGTATGATGAAATACCTTTGCGGCAACGTCGAATCAATGCGCACGTCCTCCAGGCCAATGATTGCCTCGCCCCGCACTGGGACAGCTTCTCCTTGCGACAATGCAAAAGCACCGGCACAGCGCACGAGCGGAATCTGCGTGGAGACCGCACGGCACCAGCGGCTTCACAACTGCCCGGCCCGGCTGTCCAGGGCCAAGGACCGCCCACACTTGCGGCGCCGCTGCAGGCTGCGCCAGACGAAGAAGCCAACGAATCGCTGGCGCCGCTGCCAGCAAAAGACACGCATAGTGAAAAGTCGCCACAGCCTCAGCATTCCCAACATCTCAACTCTGAGGTGTAGGATAGGTGGTAGTCAAAGTGCAATGGTGCACAGCGATGCCAGCATCGCCGCTGTGTCACCGAAGCCCTCGCAACAGGCAGGACGGAAAGCAAAGCAACGATACTCCCAGTCAAACGATGCAAACAGCATCCAAGAAGTGCACCTGAGTTGCCACATAGCTCTTGCAACGTTTGCTGCTCGGCGACGCTTCCAGAAGCCCTTCGCCAGCGACGTTTGCCGGGAGCGGAGCCAGGTCAGAAAGCTCCAGCCACGGAACGCACCGAGGCAGCTGCCAGGGCAACATGAATCGAGTGGAGATTTTGTATGGGTTCCGTCTTCATTGCGTGCTGTCCCACGACTTCAGTAAGGCCTTCCACGATTCAGTCGTTGAAAAGGTTGCAAGGTCTCCGAGTCGGCGTTAAGGAAGCAGGCCGTCGGCGGTCGCTTTGGTACGAGCCTAGAGCACTCACAAGCCACTGACTCGAAACTGGCAGCCACTGCTGCTTCAGGCTGTGTGCGCACGCCCCTACTGCAAGCGGCAGCCCACCTCGACCAAGAAACCCAAATCTCCGAAGCCAGCCTCACACGCATGGAGGCTGTAATGCCCTGTAATGACGAACTGCAACTTTCAAATTTCCCGAATAAGACAAGTTCTCAAACAAGCGCGGGTCCGTATTATCGCCTGCGCAGCTGGAGAGCGCGCAAGCGCCGCCCAGTCGCACCTAGTCGCTGCTCGGCCCAGCCACGCATTATCCTCGGATGCGCAGCACTTTTGCACATCCGCTCTAGGAAGTGACTCCATTTTCCATGCGTTACGTCGCCGAGCGTCTGCGTCAAGAGCCGCTCCTCCACTTGCCAGTCTCCCTGAAAGGGACAAAGATGCACTGATGCGATGACAACGTAGCTCCCATGGCCAGGCGGAGTTTTGGTAATTGAAACAATTGCAAGCCCCTTGAAGCTTCCGCCATGACTTCAGTCTGTAATGGTTTCATCTGTGCTCCCCCATACAAGCTTAATGTTTAACGTAGCGGGAAGGAAAGTGGGGACGGCCTGGACAAACCGCCAGCAATCCAGGGATTGCTTCATCAACTGCAGTCGTCGACGAAGTTCGAAAGCAGCCTCGGATAGGTGCAGCCTCGGATTCATCGCTCTTGTCTGGTAAGACCCAGGCAATCCAAGGCGCTGCTCGGTCGCAACGGTTGTTTGCTGCTTCACCGATGGCCTGAAACCGTCGGAAGCAGCGCTTCAGGACAAGCCTCGGCCACTCGGCTTGCACGAGCTTGCGGTTTGCGTTCTTTGGTCTCTCTGTGCGCTTCCTCCTGGGTTCTTGCATCCGTCATCCCTCGCCATTTGCTCGCATGGGCAGATAAAACATGTGGCTAAATCCGGCTGATTTGACCAGGCGTGTCCGGACGTCCCTCTCAACCTGCATTGTTGTTTCGACCGGATGCCTCCTTGTTCCTCCTGTCTCATCGCCTCCGTGCAAGTTCGTTGTTTCAGTAAGACACTGCTTTGAGACTGCAGCCTCGCTGTCACGACTTTGCTTTCTTGACTCGGGGTCTGGGCTGCGCCCAGCTCCTGGCAGTCCACTAAGTCCAGGGCTCCGCTTGACTGCCGCTGCTGACGTGACCGTAATTATTGTGGGGATTTGTTCTAACCGCTTGTGGCGACGTGGATACGACGTCCCAAGTGCACACGCAATTTTCCCAGTGCGCACTGCTCACGGCCACAGATCTCAGCGCTACACCTGTTGCGAAGACCATCTGCGCGATTCTCCTCCCAGTCCTGCAGCTTTGCACATGTTTGCAAATGCAGGACAGGAAAGCCAGTCTTCAACAGGAGCTCCTGGACAGCACGACCAGCGAAGTAGCGAATCAACGGTTCACGCACCTTGCTGAAGCAGGCTTGACACATAAATGCAACACAGCCTCAGCTTCTGCACAATGCTGGCTGGCTACGCTTCATGCAAGCACTGCTCAGAGGTTCGCAAACAGCAGTACAAAGTTTATTGGGTGGGGCGGAATAGTGTCCGGCTACATCTTGCGCAAGACATCGTGAAATGGCATCTTTGAATGGGACGACATGCCATGCAGTCGAGGGGGGAATAAAATGTGACACGTCCCCTCCCATCGGCAACGAGAGTGTCGTGATGCTATGCTGGGAATGACTCTGGGAACTCCAGAAGCCAGAACTTGCAGCTTTCTCCACCAATCCTGCTGTCCCAGATTCCAAACACACAAGTCAAGAATGCTGAGCATGACGCGGAGTTGAACTGGGGATGTGTATCGGACAACAGGACTCCAAAAGATTGCTAACAGGATATTGGTTCGTTGGTTGCATCTCGCGCCTTCGCCAACAACTGGAACCGAAACGCTGTGGAATTATGAGTCGGTGCACTTGGGAGCGAGCCTCCTCCAAGGCTTTCGAATCGGAACCGCTTCACCGGCTTAGGCCTATGGTGGCAGTCTCTTCACAAGGCCTGAAGTCCCAAGCCACCGAGCCCCATAAGTCCCATGACCACATCGCAAGCGGTTGAAGCCGGGATAGCCTTGCCCTACCACAACCTCAATTTTAACTGGATAATCGATAGCTGGTGCTTCCGCTTCGGCGTGATATAGTGACATCTTGCCGCACATGTTGACCATGTGATGTGACGCTTTTGGTGTTTGTTTTGGTGTCTCTGTGTGTGTGTGTGTGTGTGCGTGCAAATGCTGTATCCAATGGAAGGGATTCTTTGAATAATGTTGATTCGATGCTCCTTTTTCCGTGACAGCATGTGCCGGTGCTGTGTAGCAGCAGGGGGTCCATGCCCAATGGCGAAGCTTTCATCGGACGCTGAGATCCGGTCTGACAGGGCCTGACAGCCTCCCCTGGGGCCACACCATATTATTCAGCATCTGATTTTAGGTTCGTTGTACTTCGAGGACCATCTCAACAAGATTACGTGTTGACAAACGACGACGACAACAAGACGGGACGGCTTGTGTGTGTGTGTGTGTTAGTGAGTGTTAGTGTTCTGTCTGGCTCTATTCGGAGCACAGGGACCCCATGGCTTCTCGCGAGCCGCATGATACCACCGCAGTGCAAAGCAATGGGCCATGTTGGCCACGAGCTGTGGGGATACCACTGCTGTAATCAGCGAAGAAATGTACAGTGGTGAAGCGCTGCCACGAAATTCACCGCAAATCGTCGCATGCGAGAAGCCCCCCCCCGCCCCCCTGACATGCTGAGCCCGGGACGTCAAGAGAAGCTTGCTTCTTTCGGCTTGCCTCTGCCGCGTCTTGCGCCAAGCTCACAGCACGCAGCTGGCCTCAGAGAGGTGACACCACGGCATGCGACATGCGTACTCGCGCTCCCGCCTGCCGCGAGCTCCGACCTCAATGCTGCCACGGCCGCCTAAGTCCGTCAACTTGTCTCACCCGCTTCTATGCTTTCGCGTCCCGTTCCGGCGGGCCTCTTCGCGGGCAAGGCTCTCCTCAGTTTTCTGCGGTCCGTTCAGATGCTCAGTCCAGCCCGCTACAAACTACAGCCCCAACATCAGCTCCTGAAGTGGTTGAAGATGGCCGTGTAGCTCGCGAAGCCCAGCCAAGGCAACGCTCCTCTGAGAGTCTGCACGCTCGCACCTTCGCAGCCAAACCCTTTCATTGCATGAGGGACCTGTCACGCGTTTAGAAAGCGACAAAAAAGCCGCACATCATAACCAGGGAGCAAAGCAGCATCTGCTTTGGCTTCTTCTTCCTCTGCGTCCAGTCTTTCCAAGAGCTCTTTCTCTTCGTGCAGTGACACCTCAAGCAACGCAGTGCGGCATATTACAATCGTTGCTGCACTGTCGCAGCTCCCGCGCTGCCTGCAAGTCTTTGGCAAGGGCCACCTGTGCTGCCTCTTGAGCCGCAGCCTCCTCAGCATGTCTAGACGGCAACATACAAGTGTAGACGTGTGGAACAATGTGGAACATGTTCCTTTCCCCGGCCTCCTCCTCTTGTTTTTGAGCATCTTCGAGAGCTGCTTTGGCTCTCTGTGCCTCGACCCGTAGCTCCGCAACCTCCGCCTCTCGGCGTGCTACAACCAACTCCAGGTGAGCGGCAGCTTCCTGTCACAGGCTGCTTGGAGCACTTGGGGCAGAAGCACACAAAGGCAAAGGGAAAGGCAACCGCGGCATCTTGGCCTGCACACGCTCTGGCGCCGTGCTCCGCGGGGTTCGTCTCCGGCCGTGCTCCTGTCAAAAGCGGGCATTATGGCCTTGCAAACACAGGCACTTCTGCAGCAGGTCCTGAACCCATCGCTTCAGACGCCCCGGCGAGTGATGGAGCTCGCAGGCCATCGGCGATATTGCACAACATGAGGCTGTTGGTGCTAAGTTTCAGGAAGCACAAGTCGCGATCGAATTGGGAACTCCGCTTACTCCTGATGCGCTGCTGCCAGACCCTTTGTAAAAAGAGCATTGGTCCAGCACAATCTGTCAAGACGAGACAAGGCAGGGAAAGGCTCCTCGTGAACAGCGGGCGATCTGAACAGAGCAGCAACGCAACGCAGCGTCCCGGGCTTCTGAAGCGGGACTGTGGCTCAGGCTCGCCATGTCTTGAAGGGCCTCATTCTGGACCGCCAAAAGGCTACCGCAGAGCATGCCTGCCAGCTGACAAGCAATCTGATGCAATCTGAACGCGCTCATCCCCTAAGCTGAAGCCTTAAACACAAGCAGACACCCACCGGCAACATATCTATCACTTTGCGATTGGGGAGGGGGGGTGGAGGAGGGATAGACAAGGAGTTGCCAGGGGAGGCGGTAGCCACAAATTTGAAATGCTGACTCGATGCCGTGTTCTCGATCCTATGGTGCTGCGACTGAACTCTATTGCTGTCACTATCGCAACAATTGGTCAAGAAGCGCAGCGAATTGCGCCAGACATGTCTCAGTCACACCTGGCCACATGTTAATGTTGTTTCTGTCGGTATGGTCGCGCAAAGAGGCACCGAAAGCAAAAGTTTTTTGCAATCTTGCAACCTTACAAAGTTGTTGAACTGAAAAAGCACATGCGGTAACTTGACACTGAAGGCTGAAAGTCACGGGATAGCCATGGCCACGCTTGTCTGCATGCTTCACGGCTTAACACTTCAACCTGCGCGAAAGCGGAAAGAGGCGGAAGGTCGGCTGCCTGAGCTCGCGCCGCTCGGGCGAGATCATGCAACGTTGGCTGCGGCCTCGCAGACCAAGGTGAGAAACGACTCTCCTACGTCCTGTGACACCACATTGACAAACGGGCACCGATTTTAGCGAGCTCCCTGTACACAGAAGGAATGCCTTGGGTTCGCGGGAATATGGGAAGGGGACAATGGCAGAGAAGCTGAGAGTTGCACCAAAAAAGGAACTTCATCAGACGACTGTCTCTGCAGGTGTACCTCCGAGGCTCAGGCGGCAGCCAAAGACCCGTCCTGATGAGCCAACGGTGCAAGTCGCGACCATTGAAAGCCAAGAGCCTAGGGGCCTAGCTCACCGAGAGCGCATTGCGTGGGCACCTCGCACAACAGCAGGAATGAACCTCGGTCCACTCAGTCTGCCATAGTAGACACATAAGACATGGGCCTAAAGCCGCCGAATCGACCTGAGCATCCGACCAAGCTCCAGCACGGGCCCCTTGGCCGCAAAAGAGAATTTGGGTGACGTCCTTTTCCCGGTGTACATGTCAAGCTCGAAGCCAAGCCTCCGGAATCTGAAAAAGCACGGCGCAGTGCTCCTGCGCTCGATCAGATCTTGTCGCAGACGGGCATTTTCGCACATATATATATATATATATATGTATATGTATATGTATGTATATGTATGTATGCATACACACACATACAGTCACATACACACAAAGACGTTTGACTGAACTACTACCCAGAATGGTGCACTTGTCAGCAAAAAAGTCGAAACCTTCCGACTTGCTCCGTGCACCGACTCGTCATTCCAGCAAGCCGAAGAGCAAGTTTGGCAGCTCCGATTCCTCGTGGTGCTTCCAGATCTGAAGTCCTTCACGACCTGAGAAGTGAACCAGCTGGCCACAGAAAATCATGGTCGCGACTTGCCTTTGCGTGTTCCGCGGCGGATCCAGGGCTACAGCCCGTTAGCTCAGCGACCGCAATGTCCTTCAGGCCTAAGAACTGCTGGCTGCAAGCGCAAGTGTGCCGCACTCTCAGGGATTCCGACCGCGTGGATACACCTCATGTGACGGGCGGCAGTGCCTTCGCCAGGATGGGGCAAAAGCGCAACCCGAGAGCCCTGCTCCAAGGAACAATTTCGCCTCAGCGGCTCCTGGCGAAGGAACGGCCAAGAGTCACAACAAGTTAAGAAAGCGTCAAAGCGTCAACTCAACAACAAACGCAAGTCACCTCAAGCTACAGCAACCCAGCAGAAATCCTAAGCCCTGCCTTCATCTTAACCTGACAAGAGCCTACCTACAAGTGCCCAAGCCAACATAAGCCAACCCAGCTCAAGTAGTAAAGCATAGCCATCGAATCACCGCTGAAGACTCCAAAACTCTTCGGGCCAGGCCAAAACAATCAATCTGTTGCTTGCTGAGTCTTTTAGCGACTGGGTTGGACTGCTCCACACACGGTATCCGATATATCCTGGTAGCCCGCCCTTCACGCTGCCTGGCCCTTTTTGCGTCGAGATAGGAACCTGCACACATGGACACCGAGACTCCCATGCACATATACATGGACACACAAGAAGCTCTTGAAGCTCCAATCAGCCGTGTCCGTACGCCTCACGGCATGACACTTTTTGCACGGTGACGGTGACGGGCTGCGTCTTTGGCAAGGAGACAAAGCTCCCGCAGGCTTCGACTCCGAATCCCAAACTGAAGACTTCTAAGAGAAAGCCAGAGCGGCTTGTCTTTGCTGGATCTGTTGGTCAGTCGAAACCCGCAGCGACAACACTGACATCACGTCGGGGTTTGAATCTGCTTATTTTTCAGCAGAGCATGCTCATGTTCATTGGCACCTTCTACACTCAGGGTGGACTGATGTCTTGTACATCTCAAAGCTCTCCAAGCCAGCCCAAGCCCAAGCGCCGCGTTTCCAGGCTCCTGTTGCCGGGACGGTCAGATCGTGGCGTCAGCGAGGCCTGCAGCCGCGTCTCTGCCAGCTGAGACCTGAACAAGCAAAGCAGACATCAATGCAATGCTATTTAAAATGTGGTGTGGCCGGGCCATGGGCCTCAGCTCCTGCATCTCGCGGTACACCTGTGTGGGACCACGGGAGAGCCGCTCGACGGCCCTTTCTGTCTCCTGTCAGGGGCCGACTCATGTCCCGAAACCACATGTCGGGTTCCCTCCCGGCTTCCTGTAGCCGTGGCAACACCGTCTCCCATTTTTCCGTACTCTTCTTCGAGTCGCGCAGCAGGCGGTTTACCTTCCAGATTTACTGGTCTGTCGCAGCAAGCATGCCAGGGAAGTGCAACACACGCGCCTGGCTCTGCAGCTCTTCCATGCGTGTGACTGCCGTCTGCAGCTCTGCAAACACCTCTCGATGTCCGGCATCGCTTGGCGACTGTGCGGCGCGGACGAGCCGCTCCACCTGAACGCAACGATGCTTAAGCAAGTTTGTCTTCGCAGGGCGCATTCCCATACGCCTGCTCTGACAGAGCTGCCACGCGCTGCGCGCTGGCTTCTTCGCCTCGTGCCACATCCTGCCGAGGGCCCACTTGGACGAACGGATGTGACAAATATGATGATATACCAATATTACAAGAGGACTACAGGCTTGATGGTTTGTAGATCTATCGACCGATCTATATCTGGATAAAGCCTATCTAGCTTTGTAGCTGACTGTAGCTGTCGAATCTGGCCATCTGCTTTATCTATCTTATCCATTCCATTCATCCATCTAGCCATCCATCTATTTGTCTAACACTCTGACCATCTATCACCATGCATCTATCTATATCTGTCTATGTGCTTAATTATGTAGCTGCTAGCTCGCTACCTAATTGTTTATCTATAACCCTGCCTGCGTACCCTATCTACCTATCTCCAAAGCTAATTACCTTACGCTGATCTGCTTGCGTAGGCATGCTCCCCTGTGTGCTTCAGCCCGTCGTGTCCTTGGCGCGCCGCTCCACGCTGGTCAGCCGCTGGAGCTGCTCACTGATCTCTGCGCGCAAGTTGCGCTGCTCCTTACAAAGCTCCTGCGAAGCAAAGAACTAAGAACTGCCTATGAAAAATCACGACCCGGACCCGTCGTCTGCTTCAGCTCAAGAGCTCGGGCCCCGAAGTAAAATGGAGCTCCTCGCACGCTGCCTGATGACCTTCCAGGTGTGCCTTTTCAACGGCCTGACGGACCGCGCGACCTTCGGCCAGCACTCCCGACTCGAGAAACACGAAAACCTTTGTAGACCATGCGCCTTGGGTCTCGAGTTCCTTGCTCAGCTCATCTTTGGCGGCCTGCAAGCCGGCACTGGTTTCACGGGGAACACTCGATCAGGTCGATGCCGCTGCTTTTGCCTCCACATGGTCCAAGGAACTCCGGAACGATGTGCGCATGGCAAGCACTTCGTCTCTGGCACTGCTTGCCGACCTGAGCTGCATTGCATGCAGAAAAAGCGCCATAAGTAGCTGGCCATGCACGCGACAGACTCCAGCTGCCTGGAAAACTTCAGCAGCACAGATCCAAGTTTCTGCATAGTTAAAACACCGATTCCGGCTTACGAATCGTACGAACAAGCATGCAACCTTCCAGCCGGTGTCCTTTTGCTTCGGCGGCGGGCTCTGTTCTGCTCAACATCACCACTCTGTGATGAACTGGGCCGTCCACCCGTGAGTCGACCTGCTCAAACTCCAGGTCACGCAAGCCGTTCGTGGACCAGTCTGAATCTAGCGTGAGCTCTCCGCGCTGGAACATGTTCGCATTATACCACGGCAGATGCTTCCGTACTTCCGTGGCGTCCCTTCGCTCCAGAATTGACTTCATGTTGACGGGGTCCAAGTCTTCGAATTCGCCGAGCCTGACCCCAAGTGTGCGGATCCCGTTGTGAGCCATGCGAAGCCCAAGTTGGTCATCCTCCAAGCCCCAGCCCCAGTAGTTGTTCGGAAAGCCGTTTATTCGCTCGAAATCACTGGGTCGAAAGGATAAGACACCACCCAAAAAGTTCTTGTAGGTGTATTTCCTGACCATGATGCGAGAAAACGATGGACAACCACTTCTTACAGACGATTTGCCTAGAATCGCGAGCGGGCTGGTTAGTTCGGCACAGGCAACACAATCTTGCTATCCAAGCTGTGAGTCTGCCACACCGAGGCCAGATGAATTGCACGCGACTCAGGAGGAGGTCGCACGTACACGGGGAGCATGTCTCCAGACGGCAGGAGATCAACATCGTGGGTTATGAAAACCTCCATGGTAGGAAGCACTTCGCCAGCAATCTTAAACCCGACATTCAACAGCTTGCCACGATTGAACTTTTGCCCATCCTCCGATTGCTCCACAATGACAATGGCATGTCGGACGCCACAAAGAAACGCCTTCATATGCGGCAAGAACCGGGACAATTGACTGCGGCGATCTTGAAGGGGTAGCTGGTCGCGAAAGGGCACCACGACGACAACTCCGCCAAGGCCTGTCAGCCCTGCTGAGGGATTCTCTAGGCCTGCGCTCGGCAACCGACTCGCTCGGCGCGCTCTCAGAGCCCAAGCCTGTCGAAAACAGCCGGGGCCGCAAAACTTTGGCCTCAACCGCGAAAAAACGAATTCCGCATCCGTAGCTCTGCCCACACGATCTGAAGCGCGACCTCCATCGCGCATATCGTGACTGGGGTGGGGGCCAAGTTCAACACTGATACGGTGCACTACTAGATTGCCTTGACTCTGCAATGTCTCCAGAAAGCCTTGCGTTGAAAGACGCTCTGATCGCTCCAGCCAAGCAATTGCAACAAGGAGCCGTTCGAAAAAAACTCGAGGAAGCTCTCCTGTCCGATGAAAAGAACTTGGCTTCGGGCCGGTCTGCACCTGCGCAGGCAGCCTCCACGGTGCTCATCCGGTGTCCCAGCGAACGGGTTACCCCCTGCCTCGAAGAGTGCAAAAACAGGTCGGGCCGGCAGCCCCGAAGAAAAGCCTGAGTTTCCGACGCATCCAAGATCTCTTCCGTGAACTTCGCCTTGAATGCTCGGCTGTCTTCCGCAAGCAGCCGCAGCTCGGAGTCTCTGCTGGCCTGGTGCTATCGCTCTTCTGTGCAACTTCATCGGGCTCGCGACTGGGGCACTGGCATGCAGCCCTGCCACTGAATTCTCCATCGCATGCTGAGAATCACGTAGCTCGGCCACCTCTTTCTGGCAACCAGTCAAGGAATCCTGTGCATGCACGACGCGAATTCACGCAGATCACTACTTGAGACATCTCCGTGTCCAAAACTCAGCTGACTGCCGACTGAGTCCTGCAGCGATCGACTGGCTCCCGAAAGCCGCGTCAACTGCTGTTGGGCCTCACTCAGGCGCATGGCCCACTCGTCTCTGCCTTCCCGAGTCAAGAGCGCATGGAACGAGGCACTGCGTTCTTCAAATTTCAACGCCTGTGGCGATGGAGTCCTTCAGCTCATCCCGAAGCCCTGCCACTTCTGTGATCACTCTGCCTCGGCCGTTTGTGAACCGAACTGGCCCCGCGCAACTTGACGAAGAACACAGTGCGATGGATCCAAAGACTCGAAGATACCGCTAAGAATAGCTACGTATATCAGTACATCACATCAGTGCAAAATCATGCAAGTTCATTGTCCCACGCGGTTCAGAGCTGGACGTTTTCAGTTTTACACTCGTCCACAGCTGTGCTCTACGGCATCTGCTGTCCATCATCTGAGCTTTGTGTCTTCTCCTTCGGTCAGATGTCGCTCCTTCTCCCTCAGGCCCCCCAACACGGTGCCCATCCGCTTTGTGGTGAAGAGAAGAGACTCACGACGAAAGACACTGCCTGACACTGCTTCCCTTGCTCTGTTACGACCCCCCGAGTACTGATGCGTCTCTGGTGCCACAACACAACATTCGAGATTGTTGCCCAGAGTGAGCTTTGTCGTCCAGGTTTGGGCGGGATAGTGAGGCGGTGCATCTACCTTGAACCTGGCTCACAGGCTCCCCCGTGCCGACCATCTCACAGAATGACAAAGTTGGAGCATAGTTGAGGGCATCCCCTGCATCCATGCGAGTCCACACCCTGGTTTTTCGGGTCTTGCGACAGGTATGCACTTGGAGCTGAGTCCACGAAAACACTGTCGAAGAGAGAACCAAACGCCAGGATGCTCTCCAGTGTACCGGTTCGATCCGCCAGCTCTCGACGAACCTGCAACATGTTCCTGGGAGCTTGGCGCAGTGCCGTCTTCTACCAGCACAGCCGCAGAGCTGCAGGGTGCATGCTCTTTTCCCACCCGCCCCGCTTTGAGAGCCAGGAGTCGTGTGCATATCGTCTGCAAGCTGAACATGCTCCTTCTGGAGACGCCGTTCCAGGGAGGCTTCCCGAGCCTTCAAGGGCTTCAAAGCAATCTCTGTAAAGGCACCGCACCTACAATGACCTACAAAGAGGCACAAACGATGAGATGTGTATGATCCTGTGATCGTGCCAGAATGCGCTCACACATGCCCCCTTCAAATGGCGGACCGTCTCCGATCCTGCAATCCACATCCAGTCTCAGAGCTCT